GGAATGCAGCAGCCCAAAGCATGGAACAATAACCTGTTTTGTGATCTTTGTTCCCCCACCTCTACCAATGAAACCACAGCACACAAGACAACAGAAGCTTGACCTAAGTGCTTATAAATATCATGCCTCCCACAATCTGTCTTCCATTTCCAGAAGGTCAGACACACCACATCTCTGAACAGCAGCAGCAACTGTGCAGTTTGTGCTGATCTTGGGCAAGTACCTTTCAGCTGGAGCAGACACGCCGCGGGGAGCAGCTCTTGGACGTTCTCTACGGTCACATGAACAGTTTCTGTGTATACAAAGTCCAGCAGGATTTCCATGGTGGAAGCTGTCAGTCCCTGGATATCCACGTAGGGTTTGTCTTTCTCAGAGAGCTGTAAATCAGAAAGGACACCAAGGCTGCTTTTTCAAGTAATCTGATCAAAAAGCCACTAATGCTCAGCAGTTTTTTAAAAATGTGATCTGCCAGAGAGGTGTCAGCAGAGATTTGGCCTTTTCCTTCTTGTGCTCACTGCAAGGAGGGATTTTCCCTATGGAATTCACTTACACGGTGAGTACAAGAGCCACAGTTCATGATGGAGAAGCAGGGCAGTCAGACTGCACTGAAAAATGAGCAAGGTGAGATCAGACATAGCAGAAATCCATGTGTCATTTGTGCAAGAGAACTGAAGTCTCTCCTCCATGCAGTGACTCCAGCCTTTACTACAATAGACAGTCCAGGGGGATTCCTCCCCAGGCTAGATGTGTCTGACATGCTGCACTTACCTGGAGTCCCCACCTCCCCACTCAGCTCTACAACCAAAGCAAAGCATCTCTTGACTGTCCAACTCCTGATCCAGCCTGGAAGCTTATGCTGAAGATCCCTAAAAAGCACGACTATTTACAGGCCAGAAAATTCAGAGGTGAAGGTTAAATGTAGGCTTAGCTTAAACATTTAGAAGTAAAACACCATATACAGTGTTGGTACTTACCCAGCCCTGATCTTGTCCCCTTCCCATCTTATAACCTCTTTTAGGATAATAATTTTTTTGAAAAAAAATAAAATAAAATTGTCCTCTCAACAGTCAATCTCTGGCAACAGTAAATTCTGTGAATCCACCAAATTTGCACCTCTATAGGTACAAAGCTGAGATTGTCTTTCACAAAGCACCAGCTCAGTGGTTCACTGCATCCATCTGGAACTGCTGGCACTACAGCTGATGATTCCTGGGCAATGGGATAGAAGGTGGAGTCACTGATCACACCATGCATGGAGCTGCAAGCTCTGGTCTGCAGGAGTGACCTCAACAGAAGATGTCTCCAAGCAGCACACTGCAAACCCAGCCTTTCTCTCCATGACCTTTGAAGCAGTGAGCACCAGTGCAAGCAGGATTCAGGTGAAAGTCCCTGACTTTTCTGGCCAAGAATTAGCCTGAAGTGGATTACAGACCAATTGAGCAGAGACTCAGTGAACAGAAAACATGATAAAAAATGAAAGGATTTCTGTCTGGAGCCAGGCTGGGAGAGTTGGGGTGTTCAGCCTGGAGAAGAGAAGGCTCCAGGGAGACCTTAGAGCAGCTTCCAGTGCCTGAAAGGGCTCCAGGAAAGCTGGGGAGAGGCGTTTTATTAGGGCTTGTAGTGAGAGGACAAGGGGGAATGGTTTTAAACTAAAAGATTTAGGTTAGATCTTAGGAAGAAATTCTTCACCATGAGGGTTGCCCAGGGAGGTTGTTGATGCCCTTTCCTGGAGGTATTCAAGGTCAGGTTGGATGAGGCTTGTGCAGCCTGGGCTGGTGGGAGTTGTCCCTGCCCAGGCAGGGAGTTGGAACCTGATGATCTTTAAGGTCCTTTCCAACCTTAACCATTCTGTGACAATTCTATGATCAAGGCATGATCACCTGCCTTAAGAGTCTGCCTCAGCTGGGGAGAAAGGAGATGATACAGAAGTAGAGCAAACAGCAGCAGTCGAGGACAGCCCTGCAGAGACACCCAGTGCCACAGCAGCAGAAAGGAAGATATGTCTCTGCTGAGCCTGAGCCTCTCCTATGACACAGAGAGATGCACTTCACAGGAGAGAAGACAACCTCAGGTGGTACTGGTGACACAAGTAATTTGAGGGAAGAGGCCTTTCAAGTCTGTTGACACAATGAAGAAACTTTATGGCACTCACAGGCAGAGAGGAATAGCGAATGACCTTGTCTGACCTGCAGTAGGACAGGCTTTGCCTTGCATTGAGAAGCTAAAATGAGTTCCTAACTTGGGCTAGCCCAAACACTCCCAGAACAAGAGTAACCTGCTTGGTCCAACACATAAAGGAGAGATGTCACCAAAGGTTCCCAATACCCAGACAAGATGTTCATGCAATTCCAACAAGCAAATGGAGATATAGGCAATACAGACTTGGAAAAGGGTCACAAAGCAAGGTGGGGGTCTGGTCTCTTCTCCCAAGGAACAAGAAGTAGGACAAGAGGAAACAGACTCAAGTTGCCCAGGGGAGGTTTAGATTGGATCTTAGGAACAATTTCTTCTCCAAAAGGGCTGGCTGCCCAGAGCCAGGGGTCCCTATCCCTGGAGGGGTTTCAAAGCTGTGCAGATGTGGTGCTGAGGGACATGGGTCAGTGGTGGCCTTGGCAGGGCTGGGAGAACAGTTGGACCTGATGATCTTAAAGGTCTCTTCCAAACTAAATGCTTCTGTAATTCTAAAATGTTACAAACATCTATTGACAGATTACAGGGGCATCAGACCCAGATCACACTGCACCAGGTAGAAGCTGTAGACAAATGTTCTACACAGATCAGCCTGGAGCTGGTAAGGAAGCTTCTGTCCCCACAACAAATGCTTAACATTCAATAACCACCCTGTCCTGGTTTGAGCCAGGATGAAGCCAATTTTTCCTTTTACTGATTTTTTTTTCCTTCAGTAAGCTTTCTTGTAACTAGCAACAGTGTGCTCTGCTAGGCTGATAAGACACTGGAATGTTTTTCTAACTACTGAGGCTCCAAGGCTGCACCTGCACTCTGCCGGCTCAGACACTATGGGGAGATCTGTGACCCCCCCGTAGGAGGCCGAGTTAGACAGACAGCAAAACTGGCCAAAGATATTCCATTCCATATATCTACATAAGGTTAAAGGAAGGTCAGAGATCACAGAAGACAACTTCCTTCCTTCTTCTTCTTTCCTTCTCTTCCGTCCATGGCCGGCGTCCAGGGAGGACTCTGTTCATCCATCACCGTCGATCCTCAGGCTTGATCTCTCCTGACCCCCATAACTCTCTGCTTTCTCCAGCAGCAGCTCCGGGATTCCTTGGGACTCTTCCCAGTTCAGGGAAGTGCTGTGGGAGTTGCTGGGGTGGGGGGAGGCGAGAGGCTTTTGCCCATACCTGAATATATCTGTATATAATTGTATATATTTTCTTGTATCATTCATTAGTGTTTTAATTAAAGCTGTGTAGTTTAGTTTTCAACCCAGCCAAGTCTCTCTCTTTTTCTCTCTCTCCTTCCCTACCTGGGTGGGGGGGGGAGGAGATCAAGAGCATTGTTGTGGGACCTGAGTCAAATGGTGACACACCCATGCACATACTCTGGACTGCTGACCAAAACACCAACCACGGGGACAATGCTAACACCACAGGGACAACTACCTCTGTTTCCCTCCTACCCCGCTCCAATCCCTGTTGGATGGCTCAGTTTACTCACATGCTTTCAAGGAAGAAAATATTTAAATGAATTTCATATCATGTATGTGACACAGAATAACTTGGGATCCCAGCACCACATCTTGAAGAAAGACCTCAGAGTGGAGAGAACTGGATTCTGAACATCCCATGAAGACTCTAAGCTGTACATGCAAGTGTTGGGGAGCTGCACACAGTGGTGGTGCTGCTGGGACAGAGACAGTCCCCCCTGTACCCACAGATCCACACATCTGGGCTCAGAAGGAGTGCAGAGTGATGGTCACACAATGCTATTCAAAACACAGCACCAGCAGCTTTCCTGTTGCAGGTGTTTGGTGGTACCAGACAGATCTCTGCTGTTAGAATTTCAAGTTATTTTTCTTCTTTGTTGTTTAATGACAGACTCTTCTCAGTTCCCAGTGACAGAACAAGGGGTAATGGGCACAAACTGGAGCACAGGAGGTTTAACCTAATTATAAGAAAGCACTTCTTCACTCTGAGGGTGACAGAGCCCTGGGACAGGCTGCCCAGGGAGGCTGTGGAGTCTCCTTCTCTGGAGACTTTCAAACCCTTCCGGATGTGTTCCTGTGGGATCTGCTGTAGGTGACCCTGATCTAGCAGGGGATTGGACTGGATGATCTCCAGAGGGCCCTTCCAACCCCCAGCACTCTATGACTCTGTGAGTTCTGCTAAGCAGCAGGAGCAGGAAGGGGTTGACATGCCCTGATACAAGCACATTTCTAACCCATCACCTCAGCAGTCCAGGTCCAGCAATCAGTTGGAACACCCAGGAAAATGCATTCCCAGAGTTAAGGAGAGCCACTTGGAGACATCAGGAGTTTCATCCAGGGATGTCTAAGCTGCTGAAAGCCTCAAGGCAGGGCTTGCAGGTCCCAGCTCTGTTGTGAAACACAATGTTGCTATCTATCATTCCATCCACAAATCATATAACACACTTGGCAGGAGAATGGGCCTCAAAATTTTGGCAACATTTTCTTATCCAAGGCCACTTTCTGTTTTTTGCCTTCCCTGATGCAGATACACAAAACTATAATAAGTAAATAAACCCCTCCAACTTTTTCTCACATGTAGAGGAAAAGAAATGCTGGCATGACAGTGCTAATATGTGTTCTGGAAGGTGTTCACAGTCAGTGAGGGTGACCATAAAGACCTGGAAACACAAGTTCTTGATCTTCAGAATATTTCTCCATGTTTTGAGAGAAAAACAAACCTTGAATTTCTACACTCCCAAGAGAAGACAGACTAGTTTCTTTCTGAGTTGGAGCCAATGATCAGCTCTTAACACATTCTCAGTTGTGCTCAGTTGCCCAAAAAAGGCAGAAATCCCAGTGCAAAACTGGGATCCAGGGGAGCATTTGCTAGAACTAATTTTCAATTTTCAATGCAAGGAAGAACCCTGAAGGTAAAACTGATGATTTTTTCTTTTTCCTGTCTACATTTTAAAATAAATGTAAAGTTAGGAGTGAGAAAAGGAAGGAAACCAGAGAACACAGGGACTAGGAAACACAGCTTTTTATGATGATAACCTCTGGTGACAGTGTCAGTGCCACAGGGGCCATGCACAGCTGTGGCATCATGAGGGACAAGGGCACAACCCTGTGATCAGCTCTGAGCAACAGCTGGTGCAGCCCAAGTCTGACAGAAGCCACATCTCACCCAGGCAGGTAGTGCCCAGATGGGCAGGAGGAGAGAGATGGGACAGGAAACACAGAATCATGGGATGGTTTGGAAGGGATCTTAGAGATCATCCAGTCCTAACCCCTTGCATGGGCAGGGACACCTCCCACCAGCCCAGGTTGCTCCAAGCCCCATCCAACCTGCCCTTCAACACTGCCAGGGATGGGGCAGCCACAGCTTCCCTGGGCAGCCTGGGCCAGGCTCTCACCACCCTCACATTAAAGAATTTCCTCCTCATGTCTCACCTAAACTCTCCTCCTCCAGTTTTAAGGAAGCCCTTGCAGAGGCTGTCAGTCCATTGTGCAATCCAGCATTTTGAGTTCCCTCAAGTTAAAGCCACAGCCAAAACACTCTGTACCCTCAAGTGTTTGGAGAGCAACCAAGTGCTGTCTCTCCCTGCTCACCAACACACTTGCCACTGACACTCCAAAGAAGCAGGTCCACTTTGAGGCTCACCAAGCTCTCATTTGCTGGAAAGAACACTCCCACAAACCCTCAGAAACTGGGCCTGACACTTGGCAGGTTTGTCACTTTGGGGTTTCCATAAGAAAAAGCATATTTGTGAGAAATACAAACAAAATAAGTAAAACTCTCCAAGCAGCTGGAATCGGGGAGGGGGAGGGATGGAGCAGCCATGCCCACAGGGCACTGCAAGCACCTTTTTCTCTAGGAAGAATTTAAACTATGAATGGCAGTCACTACAATGTTGCAGTTAAAATGAGACTATAAAGAAGGAAGAAGAGACAGTATCAGCTTAGATCCAGAGTGTATCAATGCTCTGTTACAGCCACAAAGAATGTCCTGTAGCACAGAGTGGTGGGATCTCTGCACACTGCCCAAGTAAAGTCCAGGAAGACAAAAGCACTGACAGGAACGTGGGGGCAAACTCAGAGAAGCAGAGAGAGATTCTGCTGAACTGCTGAGCACCTCAAAGCTACTGGCAAACAAAGAACTTTGGCTCCAGGGACTGAATTTGCTTTGTGTATTTTTTTTTTAAAAGCTTACATTTCCTTTATGCAGAGAAGGAGCATAAAACTGACACATGGACACATTTCATGAAGACACGGACAGAAAAGATACTGGTATCTGGTCAGCCCACATAATGTCTTTTTTTGGTTGCTTTGCACAGGACTCTAAAAACCAAGACACCCGCTCACCCAACCCAGCACTGAAAGAACCAGAAATGCACACACAACTCTGCCAACAGTATTCATTGCTGGATAAAACAAAGGAGAAAAGGATTCTCTCCTGCAAGGACTACTGGGCTAGCAGGGAGGTCTTTAGGACCTTTGAGCTCCTTAGTAATTTTTCACCCTGCTAATGGGGAAGTGTCTAGCAGAAGGAAAGCATCTTCTGTAGGAACAAGCCAAAAAGATTAATTCTAACTTACAAAAGACAAAGCCAGGCAAAGCAGCTCATATTTAAGAACCTGCAGGAGGGCCAGCTTTTGCTCAGATAATACCTGTCAGTGAATCTGAAAGCTCAGCCTGCAGGCAGAGCCAGTCGATGCAGGGCTGGGAGAGCAAAGGTTCTCACTGCCAGATCTGCTTATCTCAGTCTCCTCAGCCCCAGAGCAGGAGGTGCCATCCTCTTCACCAGAGCAACAGCACAACCCAACCCGCAGCAGCTGATCAGCCAGTGCAGCACCGGGAGCAGCACGGGAGGCAAATCCCTCCCTGTCAGTTTCCAAGGGCTGCCTGGTTGCCTGGTGAGGGACACGGCACAGCTCACACAGCTCTGCCTGGGGCTGGTACCCTGGCCGAGCAAGATGCCCAGAGCAAGAAGACCACAAAGCATCACTAGAGAAATCAGTATCCGAGCCTCCCGGTGTGGCAGCTCAGCCCGGCAGCTCCCCGGGGCACAGGTTGGTCAGGCAGCAGACAATGATCCAGGACCGTGGTCCCACCTGCAGCCCCTGAACTCCCACCAGGCCATGACAAAAGGCTCTGCGGCCACCAGGAGACCTCGAATCACGGCGAGGAGATCCAGGGCCACCAGGAGAGGATTCAGAGAGACCCAGGGCTCATATGGGGGGATCTAGAGCCACCACGGGGAGGTCCAGCTGAGCCCCGGGAGGCCCCGGGCCGGCCTGACCGGCTCGCCCGGAGCGCCCCGGGCCCCGCTGCCCCCGCACCCACCTCGCTGGTGAACATGGCGCAGAAGTAGTCGCTGCAGGCGGCCAGGACGATGCGATGGGCCGGGAAGTCCTTGTGCTCCACGCGGAGGGTGACGTCGCACAGCGTGTTGCTTTTCCGCAGGGCGTTCATGGCGTTGAGGATGGACTTGGCGTGCGAGTTGGTCATGATGTCCTTGGGGGGGGCCATGGCGCGCGGCACCTGCGGGCACAGCCAGCACG